TGAGGGTGTTTCTGGAATTTCTTACTGTGGCTCTCTCCATATGTGAGCCCTGCAGCTGCCTGACACCCAGGAACTGGTCTCTGTCTCCTCCTTCTTCCCTAGTCCAACCCTGGGTTTGCATTCCCTGTGCCACCACCTGCAGACCGTCTTGGGTCTGCGGGCTCTGACCTTACCCGATCCCCTTGTTTCCCATCATCCAGTGAACCCTGACCTTCATTTCCTTAAGTCCAGCCTCTAAGCCCTTCTTTTCCTGTAACTTAGTTTTTTGAGTGAAACGGTCAATACTGTTTTAGTTGCTGCTCCGTGGTGGGAAGAGGAGGTCCCTCTGTGACCATGTGACCTCGAACCTACTGCCTTCCTTTACCATCTCCCTCCCCTGTTAGGACTGAACTAATTCCTAGAACTTCCTGTCAGTCTCACTCTTTGCCATAGGCCTCGAGATGTGGGTCCACCTCCCTGCATTTCTTGAGCATGTTGGCCCTTTGCAAACACAAGTGAACTATGCTGATATTTCTTGAGGCTGAGTTGCCTTCTTTCTGAGCACACCAAGCTCAGTCACTGAAAGAGAACGCTATAAATGCATAGGGAAAACATAAGTGTTCCACTTAAGAATATATTTTCTTTGTATTTTCAGATGTTGACTTAAAGGGTAATTTTTTTACTTTGCACAGAGCTTGTGGTGTCAAAATTCTGCTTAGATTGTCTCCATCTCTCTTCTTTACCTTTATAATATATAAAATAATTTAGATTTTTCAAGAAAAAAATTATAGTATAATTAATAAAAGCAAAACAGGAGACTCCACTGAGCTGCCCAAATTTTCTCGCCAACTGTATGCAGATTTCACTTAAATAAAAGTTTATCTGGAACTCGATCAAAATGACATCGATTTATCGAGTTGACAGGGCAGCTGTGTCCTAGGCGGGTAACACAAATATGACACACCTCGTGCTCTTCATAGCTTGCAGGACGGTAGAGGAGGGAGAGCTCTAAATAGGCAGCGAAGCTTCAGTGAAAATGTACGTTGAGTCTGTAAAACAGGTCTGCAGTTTTGGTGGCCTGCAAAACAAGACAGGCCCTCTAGATGATGAGAAGAGACTGGACATAAGAGGCCACAGGAAGGCTTGGCATAGCAGCGGGGGACAGCCAGCCAAGCAGTTCACAGGTTTTTGGATTAAATTTCTAAATGGATGGTTTATCGCTGTTGCCTGGATAGAGAATTCATGGGAGAACATATTAGAAGGAACTGTTTAAAATGGATTTAGTAACATTCTTATCTTATAATGTGCACTGGACCATTAAGAATCCTAAATAGCAAATAGCACTGATTAGCTCCTTAAAACTGTTTTTAAAGCCATTTTTTCGTTTAGTAGTAAATGTATTGCTGTTTAAGTTTGGTTCAAATTTGGACAGTGATAGCAGCAGTAGGCCAGTAACAGATTCAGTTAATGCATCTAGGTGATTACAACTGAATTGAATCGCATCATAATTTGGTTACTGTATTAACATGAAAGAAAGCAACCTTAACATTTCCCAGCCTTTTCATGATTTGATGCTTCAAATGGATGCACCATAACCAAACCTCAAAAACCAGTTGAAAGAAGCCCCAAGACTCAGGTTAGAATTTGCTCAATGAAAAAAAAAAAATCTAAAAACAGATGCAGATACTCTTGGGCATCAGTTTGATGAGTCTGGGCACATTTCTCTGGTTACGGGCTATGTCCTTTTCTGGGACATGCCCGCCCTAGACCCAGGCACTGCTCCCAAGAATGTTTACTAGAGATTTCAAAAGTTAACCTCATCGTCATGGAAAAGACGAAACTTCTAGTGTGAGATAGCTAGGGCTTTTGAGAGTACATTTTATGCTCACTAAACTGTTGGATCTTATTCTTTTATACATAAGACAAAATTTACTAATGCCTAAAATCTGCACATTTCACACCGAGCCCACTTTAGCAAGGAAGTCCTGGACGCTTCTCTGGCCAAGTTGGCCTGGAGTGACGGAAGCAAGGACCATGGTGTGTTTCAGTCCAGGGTGACAGCACCTTCACCACAGGCACAGAAAGCTAAGATGAGGGTTTACTGCATTCCTGTCATGCAGCCTTCTTGCCAGGTGGGATACACACACACACACACACACACACACACACACACACACACACACTGCAGCAAGCTTTTCACAGGACTGAGTTTATAGCATTTGCTGGGGCTGTGTTTTCATTTAGGAGGCAGCATCCAAAAAACTTTCTAATGAAGATACTGTCCACAGAGGAAAATGAAGTCATCCATCTTTCTAATTTGAATGGTAGGGAGATGGTATTCACCAGGAGGAATGGGGAGCTGGTGTTAAAGAAGAACCCTAAATGCTTTACATAGCTTCTGTTAACTCCCGAGTAGAGTCCATTGTTTAAAAAAATTATACACACACACACACACACACACACACACACACACACACACACAAAGATGGATTAAGGAAAGAAACCTTAGGACCTCTGTTGATGAAGTCCTGGCCAAGCTAGTGTTGTGGGTATATGTGGACAGCTCCCTTTCCTCTACTGGAAATTCACTAATGAAATATGAAAGACATAGGTTTTTTTTTTTTTAACCCTTAAATAATTCTCCAAAGTCAGGGGATAAAGTTTTATTTCTTAAACAGAATTTGGAAACATAATCCAAGACTGGCAGAGGGAGCTGCAGGAAGACACTGACACGGCCTCTAACCTAGGCTCACCAGCCCACTTGCAAGGTCGGCTTTGGCTGGCATTTGGAAATTTGGATTTCGGGATAGTTCCCTCCATTCCCACAATGACGAGAGAGTCTCTACGCCTGAGCTCTTTGTGCAGACAATGCTGTTGGGTCCCTCTGGAATGTCGACAGGCAAAGAGGTCCATGTTCCAGGCCCCAGAAGCCCTGAGCACCAACTCTCCAATGAGCAGCCCTCATTGGGACAGAATTTCACCTGTGTTGTCACAACTGCTGGGGGTGGGGGGGGGGCTTAAGCACATGTGTGACTCTACTGGGCATGGCTCACGTTGGTGCTTGGTTTCAGGGGGACTTCTACAGCCTTTTGTCTCTCTGGGTTTGCTTTGCAGCTTCTCAGCATAATACCTTACCACTGCAGTGTCATGCAGAGTCTGAAGAACGCTGCTAGTTGTAGAAACCGGAAATGTCTTAGGCATGCCCAGCTTGTCCATGGTAAAGGTAACAGCCTGGACTCTAGAGACCTCTAGAGTCAACAGCCTCACTTTCCTTGCTAGGGGTGCAACAGATTGGGGGTAAGAAGTTATTAGACCAGCAGACCTCCCTTCCTCTTCAAGAGGAGGCCTAGACCTTTCTGTCCATTGAGGAACAGGACGTGGATACTCTGCAGAGAAAACAGAAGAGTTCAGGGACCTCTGGGGATTGAGACTGGAGCTGGGAAGAGGCCGAATAACTATGGAGAGGTACCAAGAGCCCAGTTCTCTGCCTCCACTCATCTCTCTGACGCCTGCAGACCAGGCCTGCGTCATCAGGCACAGCAGGACACTGGAGGAGTCCTGATGTGCCCAGCAAGGAAGAATGAAGGTTCCAACCGCTTCCTCCATCCAGTGACCCAGCCAGGTCACACATGGTCATGCAGTTTGTATAGCTACAGCTGTGTTTGAACACCTGGCCAAGTATCTGGTGAATTGTAAGAAGTTCATAGAAACTAAACAAAGTTTAGTTGTTATCCCAACAACAAAGAGAAACAACTGAACTACTGACTTGGATTGGAAGGGAACTAGACAAGAAATATAAATCAATTATAATTTATTACAGCATTCTGGCACTTAGCGATTAGTAGAACACTGGATTTGATCTAACCAAAATTATGGTTAGTATCTTAATGACTGTATTAAGATGGTGGGCGATGAGCATCACCCAGGAAGTGTGTGGGTCAGAGTGCAAAGGACAAAATGCTGCTTTTCCGTGATGCATAATTTATGTAATGTGTAATCCTGGGAAGTGCAAGTTAGTTGTGTCTACATAAATATCAAAATTGAACGGAGAGGAATAGAGAAAGAACAGCAGTGCTCTTGTTTATTGACACAGTCATTCTTGCTTTATGTGTGTAGTTAACGCTGAGAAAAATATCCTAAGTGCATTATGCACTGTTGGTTTTCTCTCTAGTAGAACATCATTTGTTGTCAAGTGCAAAACTTGTGATGTACTGAATTAAAGATTAACCTCTATTTCTCACTGAGAGGCCACAGTGGTTAGAATTATTTTAACATAAATCAGTAAGTGCCCCAGGCAGGTTCTCATCACCTAGGACCAAAGTTCTGCCTCCATCCCAGCCCCATAGTGGTCCCATCGGCAGGCCTTACATCTACACTCTCAGCTGCCTGGGACCTTCCCATCTCGGGGTATAAGTAGGTATCTGGCAGTGAGAGACGAAGGTAGGTATCTGGGAATAGAGAAGAGAAACTGAGAAATACCACTGTTGTGTTGACTGGGAAAATGATGGAAATTTTATGCATTAAAATATGCTTACTGTGTTTCCATGTGATACTTAGACTCTGCAACACTTTGAATCTGTAATTCCAAGGCTTACAATATCCACAAATCTTAAAATAAATATTATGTAGTCTCATAAACAAAATAGGTTTCTATCATTTAACTTTAATCTTTTAAAGAAAACACCTAAACTTAACATCAAAATAATCCGCTTCTTGAGTTACTCATCAAGTGAAAGTATATGGTTTACACACAATCACCATTTTTTCCAGCTGATATTGTTTATTGATTTAAAGTCAGTGTTTATGCCTGGCAAACTGCCAGTTCATTTTGGAGATAGGTAGAATGCTGACCTTTCTTCCAAATGCCTATTTTAATGTACAATATGTTTTTCATTTTCTAGAGAGGCTTCCAGCAGTTTAGGATTTGAAATCTGGGATGACTTTACATTTCTCTAGAAGCCAGGAATCTCCCCTGAGATTCACACCATGGGGTTAGAAATACTGTGCGTTTTCTTTCCCAGGAATACCAGCCCTGTAACACCAACGCGTGTCCCGAGCTGAAGAAGACCACGCCCTGGACTCCATGGACGCCGGTCAACATCTCTGACAATGGTGGCCACTATGAGCAGCGGTTCCGGTACACCTGCAAGGCCCGCCTGCCGGACCCCAACCTGCTGGAAGTGGGGAGGCAGAGAATTGAGATGCGCTACTGTTCCAGTGATGGAACCAGCGGCTGCTCCACAGATGGTGAGACTCAGTGTCACAGGGCTGGACCACTCCCATCCCAAGGCCACATCTTACCTTGAAGGTCATAGACATACAAAGGGGAAGATTTTTAATGTGATGCTGGCTTAACAGCTCTTGTTGCAGTGATCACGCAGAGCAGAATTAATCATACAGATAATGGAAGGGAAGATGTTTACTTTAAAAATTTACTTATATACAGCAATCCTTTGTCCGGGAGGGATAATTCAGAGGCTCCCGGTGGTTCCAAATTAGGAACAATCAGAGACAGGAAGAGGTTAGCAACACTAAGTCATAAATAACATAGAGAAGCTATAAAAATATAGTATAATAAAAGTTTTGTGGTCTCCTCCCTGGAAGAATCAATACGAATACCAGTATTTTTGGCTTGTGGTTGACCGTAAGTAATTGAACCACAGAGCATGAAGCAGTTATAAAGAAGAACCCTGTGTTTAGGTGGGTCTCTGAATTCTGTCCCCCAAATAGCACTCTGTTTATCATAGAACTAGAGTATCTTTTGCTCACTAAATCTCACTGCATTCCTATGGAAGGCTCTGAATGGTGCCACCAAGCTGTTCCTACATGGCGGGTCCCCCAGCCTTCTCCTGGGAGCTGACAGGCAGCCTGGAGGCTGCCAGTTCCCATCAAGCACATTTCACTGTAGAAGTTCACTTCTGTGTCTGCCTGTACTGCCCTTACCTACATTTACCCCTGCTTCACTCAGACTTCTGCACACACGAATTGTTTCTTTAAAAACTAGCATGAGTCACACTGATGAAGGGCTTTATGGAAATAAAGGTACAGCATAAACAAAAGCTGTACCCCACCTAGAAAAATGAGCAGACAGTTGATAGCCGCTGCTATGCATCTTGTAAAATTCCAGTGTGATTGGCAGGATGCATGCATGATGAAAGACAAAAGAAGACCCATCTTAAAGACCTGCATTCTGTCAGGGACGATCCTGACATCCCCAGGTAGAGCTCTGGTAGAAAATACCCGTAAATCAATGTCTTAAAGATAGCTGTGTCCCATACAAGCTTTATAATATAAACATGCCCTGTGCAAATTTTTATAAGTGTGTGATTTGGGGCATCCTTATCCTAAGCTATTGTCAGTTGTTTATCTGAGGGTTATAGTTAATGGATCTTCTTATAGATTATTGCTACTCTGCCAATCCTCTCTTCAATTTATTCACTTATGCATCGATTTCAAAGCAGGCTGTGAACTGTCTCATTTCTTATGCCATTAGGTGAAAAGGAGCAAATGAACAGTGATTTCTTTATAATTAGCTTCCTCTTTCAAATGTACATTCTGTGTTCTTTCTATTCTTAAATGCAGATAAAACCAAAGCTGATGTGTGTGTTAAATGTTGATTAGGTACAAACAGAGACCGGAAGAGGTTAGCAACTCCAGTGGGGAGTAACCTCTTCGTTTAGTCATGCTAAATGAAGGAAACATTTAAAACACATTTATAAATGACATCCTGTAATTTCCCCAAAAGCCTATGGTGGGTATGGCTTGGAAAGAGCTTTCTGTGTCCTAATGGCTTTAAATTCTAGTGACCATCCTCAGTTTGGTATTGATATCTCAAGATCCCAAAATTGGACTCATTTGCCTCTGACCACACAAAATGAGGCTTAATTGTGCAAAGTTGTCTTTTATTGATTACCCACAAAATACTGGCTCATCACGGAAAAGCACTTCCAATTCGTTTTCTCTGCAGAGTATCTGGCCTGCATTTTACAGGCAGAGTTTCCAAGAAAACAACAAAGTTACTCCACAGTGTTCAGAGCTGTGTCCTGTTTGTCTTCTCCCAGCTGTGATTCCTCAGAACTTCCCTGTATTCCTTAAGAAGTGTTTGTTAGATCTGTGTCCCATGACCTACAGCTTGAGAAAATTATCTAATGTTTTTTTTCTTGTCCTTGGAGAGGCATTTTCATCAAATCAAATACAAATTGTGACTGAGTCTAGTTAAACGATTGTCACATTAAAAAGCTCCCAGAAGACCTAAAAGATAACAAGTCTGTAAAGCATGTTGCCTGCAATATGAGGAAGACCCCTTTTCCCACCTTCCCCAGACTCCAGCTGCCACTGGTCCAAGTTGCGTCCTGGAAACCACAGTCCTTAGCAAGTGTGCTCAGTCATGGGAAAGAAGGCTCAGTTCTAGCAGGTGGTCACTCAGCTGTACTATTATTTTAGGGGGACTTCTGAAATGTGAAAAGGGTTTCCCCAAATTTGAGAAAGTTACTCCAGACATCAAGCACACAACTGAGGCAGAAAGAAGCAGAGGGGCCGCATCCCCTCTGAGTATGCCCCAGAATCACTCCTGGGCCTCTCTTCCCTCCGCAGGACTTTCCGGGGACTTCCTGCGTGCAGGGAGGTACTCGGCCCACACCGTCAACGGGGCGTGGTCAGCCTGGACATCCTGGTCCCAGTGCAGCCGAGACTGCAGCAGGGGCATCCGGAGCCGGAAGCGCGTTTGCAACAACCCGGAGCCCAAGTTCGGCGGGCTGCCGTGCCTGGGCCCGTCCCTGGAGTACCAGGAGTGCAACATCTTGCCCTGCCCAGGTGAGTGGGCCGCGTGCTCCGGAGACAGAGCTGAGCACTCAGGGGCCTTGTGAGGCCTTCTCATTCCCCAAGGAGCACTGGGCTCCCCAGCTTTTGTGCTTGGGATGAACCTTTTAAAGACATGCTGAGGTCGTGTAGGGCCCTGTTGGATTAACCTTGTCACCATAAAGGAAAAAAGAGGGGAGCCTGGAATGCTACTAGGGTAGTTCTCCATTCCTCATCCTGCCCAGCCGACCTGAAGCCCAATCCTGCCATTTCACCCCGTATTAAACGCACAGTTCAGCCCTGTTTCAGGACAGCAAGGAGGCGGAGCTCTGTGTGTGAAAAACATCTGAAGATCGTGGCCTTGCCAGGGCGTCTTCTTTGCAAATTCCACTGGTAGAAAGATAAATAAAGGCTGGGCTGGATGGCATTCATTATTTCCACTGATTCTGAAATAAAACATTCCCATGAGCCACTGCAAGGACCGCAGGCCGAGCCCCTGTGCCTGAAGTTCTGGAGAGATGCATGGTGTCCCTGAATAAACGCCAGCTGCTCCCTGGACCCCAGTGGACCCAGGCCTTGAGGACACCCCACCAAGTCCTCCACTGGGCCCAGGGATGCCGTGTGAGCTCTGAGCCACTCTCAGTGCCACCGTTTCCCCTGTCCTGCCCCAGGTCCCCTGTGCTACAGAAACACTCTCTCCTGGGAACCTGGGCCTGCTTCTTAGCCCAGATCTCCATGCTGCCAAGTTCCCAAACAAGCACGGGGACATGAAACCAAGCCCTCGGAGTTCAGGGCTCATGATGAGACCCTGGCCCTACGGTCCCTCTCTCTCTCTCTCCTTTGAGAGTCTGACCCTGTGTCTGCCCTGCTTTCTCCTTCCCTCTTCCCAGGGGGACCCCTGTCACCTCCATTGCTTCCAACCACCCTTCACATGGGCTCAGCCTCTTTACCTGGTCGCTCAGAGCCATCCGGCAGTGCCTGGCCCTGAGAGCGCTGCCTTTGACTTTGTCTGATTGAACCCTGAGGTGGGGGTGCCTACAACAGGTGACACCCTCAGCTTCCCCCACAGGCCAAGGACACCCAGAAATGTGTATTTGCATTGCTGGATGATGAGACGGTTGATGCTCCCCCACCCTCCTTAACTTCCTGCGTTCATTCCAGTTTCAGCAGTCCTTTATGGGTGAGCCCTTAAGTGCTGCTCACGGGGTATATGCAAAGGCCCAGTGGTACAAGCCAGGAGGAACACATGGGAGTTAGTCACACTGACAAGCAGGGATGGGATGGTGTGTGTATGTGGGTGTGGGTGTGTGTGTGTGATTCCAAACACTGGGTACACTTTTCAAGGCATAAGATCTTAGCCTCTTTTTGCATAGGTACTCACAGGTTTCTCAGTTCCTCAGGTGAAAAACTGATTTTAGTAGGTGCTTACCAAGCATTTGTTGAGTGAATGGACAGGTGAATGAGTGATCAGATGGATGGGCACACAGATGATGGGTAAGTAGGATGCAGGAGGAAGTGACAGTGACACCATCCTGAGCCCTGTGTTTGAGGCTCACAGTGACACCCCTGCTCTTAGAGCTGTACCCCTCTACTTAGGACATCTTTGTCCGAATTTCTTCAGCCTCAGAGAACTCCTCTGCACACGCAGCCTCCCCAGCCAGCCTGATTTCAAGGCTGGGAAAGGTCACAGAGCCTTTCTTTCCCACAGCCCCAGTGAGAAGATTCCTCCCTGGGTGCTGGGAGGAAGCCCGTGGGCGATTGTGCTGGCTTCCAGGCAGCACTGTAAGGCTGTAGTGATCCAGGGAGTGGTCCTGGGAGGGTCAGCATTCCTCGCTGCCCCTCTCCTCAGCTGCAGACTCCTCCTGGCCCTCAGCAGAGCGTGCAGATTCCTGCAGGTTTTTGCATACTGCTCTGGTTCCTGAATGCAGAGTCCTGTCTGTCTCAGAGACACTTCTCACCATCTCTGGTGTTTTGTTTTAACTGATTTGCTGGCTAAGCAAGGACTATGCATACGTGACCCAAATATCTCAAAATAGCTCTGTCCCCATTCTCCATTAAAGGCCCAGATTCCAAAAGCTGTTGTGGGATTAGTCAGAATACCCTCGGTCACATTCCACCAGAGAGTGGAACAGTTCAAGGCTGGAGAGTGCAAATGTCACCTCTCTTTCCAACTGCCTGGAAAATCCCTATAAATACACCAGAATCTAGCTCAGCAAGGAGGGTGAGAAGCCCCAGGGATCCGGATGCGCCACCGCATGGTCATCGACACACAGTTGTAGGGCTATTTTTACATCATTTAAGATATTCTCCAATTTAACCCTGCTGGATCCTGGTGAACAATTACAAGTAGATGTTGTATTCCATGGGAAACAAAAGTTTCTCATTACGGCTTAGAATGTAAATAAATCTTCAACTAGAGAAACGTAAAATACCCTGTAAATTAAAGAAAATTCCATCTCCAGTTCACATATGTATAATAATTGTAATAAGGTTTTAACAATAATGCAAGTGTTCCCTTCCACGGGTTTGTCTAACTAGTACCTCCTGTATAACAGCTGTTTTCAGTGTTGAGAAATGGTCTTCTCCTTTTCCTCCTGGCATGTCTGACCCAGTGCTGGAGAATCCAGACCTTGACCCATAAAGATAAAGACAATAGATGGCCCTTTGATGCTGTGTAATATTTAAATAAGATGGAAACAACCTCAGTGCTTTCTTCAGACCCCGTAAAACCCACCATGTAAACTAACCTCTTTGGGGCAAATTTAACTGAAATGGTCCCATTTTGTCTTTGTTCTGCAAACAATAAACATGAGGGAGACAGAACATCTAGAGTCCACTGGAGGAGCCAAGCTTTTAAACTGAATGGAGATACGCAGACAAATATGTGTCCTCTGGATAATGCGTGTTTGACACTCTCGGTGTGCAAGGACACTGTCAGTGGAGTAGTTGAACCCTCATCCTATGGCGTCTAGTTGGCACAAGAGATTTCATTTCAGGGATCCTTAGAGAAGCAGAGAGCCCGGCTGTCCCTTGGTGGGAAGCCACATGTACATGCTGTGTGCATGAGGGATCACGCACACACACGCATGCAGAGGAATCAGAACCACACACATACACGTCCTGAGAGACTGTCAGGGCCAGGTTTCCAACCCCTGAGTATGCCTCTTTGATCACTGGTAACTGTACTGTCTGCTTTATTTTACTGCAGTGATGGAGTATTTAGCTAGAATTCCTAGAATCAGAATTTTTATCCTCTTCTGTTGACTTAAACCATAAATTTCATCTGACCAGAAATAATGCCCCATGATGACTTGTTCTGATTCCTTGAGAGGAAAATGGATCTACGCTTGAGTGTTTTTCTGACTCCCCATGAGCCAGACTCCGTAGGCTGAATCGGATGGTGATTCAGACGGAGAGGTGATTCTCACGAGACTTTTTGGTGTGAAATTGGCAGGGAATCGCGCACATTCCAAACTCTAGTGCAGGGCTCGGTCCCCACTCATGGTCTCACTCATAGTCTCTGACCTCTCTGTGCTCGCCTCACTAATTTCTGGAACGTTCCCAAGGGCCGTGGTAAGTGGAAAACTTACTGACTTTCCTCTCCCCCTTCTCTTGATCCTCCTCCTCCTCCTCCTGTTCTCCCCCCTCTTCCTCCTCCTCCTACTTCTATTACTACTATTCGCTATTATTATTCCAGCCTCATTCCCTCCCTGAAGTGTCGTCCCTTGCTTAGTTACTCATGTTTGCTTCACGTCCCGGATCTCACAAGTCCCTGCTTCCCCACTCAGAGCTCTGAATGCCCCGCACAGGGAAAGCCATCTCGTTAAGCTTAGTTTCCTGCAATTCTACTTTAGAAGTTCATGGTCTTCCTGATACAAATGGATTCTGCAATGCTTAGTGCCCTTTTCTGTCCCTGCAAACCACCACGCCCACGTCTCCGAGGCAGTGCTCCGTGGTGCAGGTTCAAACCTGTGACATAGGACAGCACCGAGAGACAGGAAGGGAAGCCAGGCTGAGAACTGCTAGGGGCACAGGGCAACTATAGATCACAAAACCGCCTGCAAGTGTGGAGTGTGCGGAGGTGGCCGGAATCCCCCTTAGAATGCCTTTTGTAGTGGAAATGTCCCAGTTTGTCAGTATGTTCCTGAGGGCGGTGAAACTGATGGAAAACAGCATGAGCACATAACAACGTCCAGGGCTGCTCCACCTATGCACCCTCAGATGGTGCGCCTCAGGGACAAGCCACCGTGCTGAGGAAAACCACCATGACACCAGCATGGTGGGTGTGCATGTTGAGGGGAGCCCTGGGCCGCATGTGAGCCGGCACAAATAGGAGTGGACACTCTCTGAGAACCTCAGGGGAGATGTGTACGTCAGCTTCCTGTGTGAGATCCTGAGAGAGGCCCAGTTGTGAAAAAATGGCACATCAAGTACATCTATCGTTAGGTGTTTGTTTTGTTTTCTTCCAAGCTAAGATCACTTAACACGAGGTCCACTCTCTGAATGAATGCCCAAGTGCTCGATGCAGCGTGGTTAGCCAGGGGACCAGCGTGGTACCGCAGATGTCCGGGGCCTGCTCAGCTTGGATAACTGAGACTTCATACCAGTGGAACAGTAACTCCCCGAGCACCCTTCTCCCCCACCACCAACACCATGTTTACTCTCTGCTCCTATTAATGTGGCTCTTAAACACCACAAGGCGCATGAGACCTTGACTTTCTCTGACTTACTACGTTCAGCGTCTCTCTCAGGCTTGTCCATATTCTGGCACATGGCAAGATCTTTTTGAAGGCTGAGTAACATTCCCATTTATCTACACCCCACATTTTATTCATCCACCCCTTCAATGTTTTGGCTGTTTGTATATTTTATCTGTTGTGGACTAGAAGTACTATAATGAACCGAGGAATGCAGTGTTCTCGATTTGATTTGTTTGGTTTCAGTTTCTGGATGTATACCCAGAAATGGGATTGCTGGACCTTATGGGATCTCAACTCCTAAGTTTCTACAGAACTGCTGTACTGCTTTCCTTAGCACCTGCAGCATTTTAAAGTCCCACCAGCAGCGTCTAATGGCTGTGATTTTTATGAACCCGCCAATACTTTCTCTTAAGAAAATCATAGCCATTCCAGCAAGCAAGCATCAAGAGCTCATAGTGGGTTTGACTTGCTTTCCCCCGAGGATGAGCACCTTTTTGTGTATCAGTTGCTGCCCATCTGTGAGCCCATTAACGTGCTGCAAAGCCAGGACCCTGCAGACTGTGCCTGCTCAGAGTGTGGCTGTGACAGCGTCTAGTGGACATGTCCAGCCCCTGAACTCGTGCAGCTGAGTGACTTCTGAGAAGGCCACACTCCATGACACCTGGAATCCCAAGGCCCTGTGACTTTACTTTGCCCTGGAGCGTGCTGCAGGCAGGGGCACCCACCAGATACCAAGCTTCCCTTCCACTCAGCTTGCAGACAGCGAAATGCTGCCAGGAACTGTGCCCTGCTGACGACAGGTGTGATGCTGGGTTTCTGAAAATTTCCCAGCTCTTGGCAAACACATGCCTGCCCCCTTACTGCTGGTATTGTGGGTGGTGTCGTGTATTTGACTAATTTGTCCCTGTGCATGTGCCTGATTAACTATTAAGACAACTGTTAAATTCTGCAAATTTATCTAAGCTATTAAATGTACCTAAACTATCAGTTTTGTCACAGATTTTCCAGTTAGCTTCAAACTTATTTTTAGTTGGCTTCAAATGTTTTTCTTTTTCTTATTAAAATGTCATTATGAGAATATTTTTGTTCATAGTTCTCAAAAATGCTTGTTTTTTGTTTTTCTTTCCTTTTCCTTCTTTTTTTAATTTAATTTTTTTATTTTTTTGAGACAGTCTCACTATCTATTCCAAGTGGGCCCTGAACTCACTTTGTAGCCCAGGCTGGCCCTAGAACTTGGGATGATCCTCCTGTCTCAGCCTAAGTGCTGGAATCACACGCATGCATCACCACACCTGGCTCAAACATGTTTTCTTTTTACTTGTGCTCATAGCTAAAGGTAAATATTACTTCATTAAGATGTAGTATATGATGATGGATATATTATAATGCATTCTAAGTCATTCTAGTACAAACAACCTTGTGTCTTGAATTATTTCAGCAGTCTCAGTTGTGGTTGTTTCTGATTATTTAGGAAAAAGATGAAACAAAATATAGTAACTATAGATGTATAGTACTGGTGAATTTCTCTAAGCAGGCTTTTATTTGGGTGATCCCTGGTTTACCAAAACCCCCGCAGAAGGTTCAGTCTCCCATCAGGCAATGTGGCACACAGCTGAAGAAAAGCAAAGAAAGATCTGCAGTTTTAACGGCCTCTGGGATGACCAAGTGCTCTCTTGGAACAAAGGACCAACAGTTAGAGTGACCCCCACTTTTATTGCCTGCCTCACCTCCAAGAAGGTAGGATAAAGGCTGTGATCAGTGCTCAGGAGTAATAGCTTCTGCAGGCGTGGCTTGTAAAGGAGGAACAAACACTGTTGTACCAGGCACATAGGCTCCCCAATTAAATAGTGGCTAAAAGAGTATTTTGATGTTTGGAAAGGCAGCACCTTTACTGCTGGGAAGATGCATTTCAGTGTCTCACGGCCCCAGCAGAGGTATTCACTACCTTAGCCCTGGAATGTCGCAGGTTCTTCCCCTGTCCTCCATCCCAGCCATCAGTGGTGAGGTGCACTTCTACCACTTTGCTGTAGTCAAACACATTGGTGTCTTGGTTGCATCTGGTCACATTCTTTTTAGCCAATTAAAGGAACTTGCACCTCTCTACAGCTAGCTCTGCACATACACGTGAGCAGGGCAAAAATGAGGGCTAGACAGCAGAGGTGGAAGAGGCATCATTTCTCCAGGTAAGGTGGCTTGGCGGTCCAACTCTCTGGTTATGATCGTATTTTGCATTGTGACTAGGATGTAATGCCTTCTTTAGCAAAGTCTAAGCAGAATGATTGGCTACTCAGAGGGAGCCTCAGTTTGGAATTAGCTAAGCAGTAGGTCATGTCTGAAAGTTGTCGCCTACCCACACCCATGGGAAATCTCAACTTTGGAAATGTCAGCTATCTCAGAACTGAGATCCCTGAGACCCAGAGGGACAGACTCCAGAGTTCATGACATGGTTCTGCCGGCCTCAGAGATAATGTGAGTAGACAGAGAGCTTCTGCCCAACATTCCCCTTGTGAGACGGGCTGCAGACATCTAGATTCCTCTCTTGATTATTTGAAGTTTGCATGGTTGCATTTGTTTTGATTGCTTAGTGCCTGAATTTTAGAGGCAGCCTTCACAGTTACTTTTGTTGTGAGACTGTTGGCTTTTTTCTACTTCATTGTCAAGGAGGAAATTGTAATCTAGTTAATAAAGAAAGCTGTGACTTGAATCATGATCCTGAAATGGTTAAGTCTTGCCTGACCAAGCACCTGATTCAGATACCAAAAATGAGAACTAGCTGAGAGGTTCCCATTAATTAGCTCACAGTGTGTCCTCCTCGGGATCTGGGGTTTTCATGTTTCACTCCTTTGTCATCCTCATGTTTCAACAGTATATATTTAGAAATGGTTTCTGAAAGAACAGAGAGAACTGAAAACAGTGTGGGGAGGAACATCCAAACTGGGATCCCTGAGCAATAGGCAGCCCTCCATGTCCTCCGCCCAGTAGGCGATCAGTAGCCAGGTTACCACTCCCACTGAGGTGCCCTGTGATTCAGCTTTCATCTGCAGCTATGGCCATTACTCAGCTCTGGATTTCAGAGGTTGACTTTGTTTTCTTCCAGTGGACGGTATGTGGTCTTGCTGGTCATCCTGGTCACAGTGCTCGGCAACCTGCGGTGGTGGACACTACATGCGGACGCGCTCATGCACAAACCCCGCCCCCGCCTATGGAGGGGACATCTGCCTGGGGCTGCACACCGAAGAGGCTCTCTGCAACACCCAGCCCTGCCCAGGTAGGCTGTGCCGTGACACCTGTGTGACTGCGGGGAAGCTGTCTCTTTCCATGACATCAAAGTGTGAGGCTGATGATGCCCTGTCATAATACCAGAAAAGGCCTCAAATCAGCCTCTCAAAATTCCCCTCACAGTAGTAACTTCACATGATGTTGGTCCATGGTAAGATAACTTTCACTTTGCTTAGTGTTAAAAGCCTTTACATACACATGTTGTTAGCAAACACACACTATTGGGAAATGCATGCCAGGTGACCTTGAGCTTGCTGGGGACTCACAGACAGTGCCTGAAAGGAGAAAAAAAGTTGGACGGAAGACGTGGGGGAGCATAACTGTAGCGCTCCCCACCGAGTTGGAGGGGGAGTCAGGGGATTCTCCCACAGCTCCTTGCTTTCATATCCCACACTTATGAGGTCCCCTAAGTGGTGTTCCAGGCCCCAGTTCTTGAAGGTGATGCAGAAAGACCAGCCATGCTTGGCTGTCAGAAGACTAAGCTGGAGGACCTTGAACCTGCCTAGGGACCCTGGATGGCAGGATTCCGGGGACTGCATCTCCATGGGTGCAGGCATCTGGAGGTGCTGCAGAGCACTTCCTGACACCTCCCCTTGTAGGCACAAGAAGGAGCTTGGTTTTCTGAGCTATAGACAATTCTATGAGTCTAACTTTGACACTGAAACACTTTATTAACTTGCCCTGCAGATCTTTCTAGAAGATCATCCTGGTGATAATGATATTGATTAGAAACCAGAATCTCATGGTCATCCCCAAACCTGGCATTTTATTTATTTGGAAGGAAAAATGCTTCTTTTACATGGATCAAAGCATCAGTTAAAATTCCAAATTGCATAACCAGAAATGTCATTTTGTATTGATTAGCAGTGCATAAACAATAAAAGTTCATCTTTTTGAGCTTTTGCATGAATGTGAAAGATCTTCTTCTCTTAGCACCTGGGAGAACCGCACACATCCCAGCAGATCTTCCCGCGAAGGCAGATTGTCCTTCCATCCCTCATCTTTTCACCCAGACACAGGATGTGGGAAAGGCCCTTATGCTATTCAGCAGTCTCGGGCAGAACTTACAGACTTGGTAGATGGATTGTGCAAAACTGTTTCTCCAACAGAATAGAAAGGGCTTTAAACTCCAATTTGCCATGCAGGAAAGTCTTGACAACAGCAATCACAAAAAGGAACACAGCTACTTCTGCCCATACACATGGGCCGTGGAGCATATCCAGGATTTGTTCAGGAATTTACTAGAAGGCTGCTCTTCAGATGGAGCACCCAGCCTGTCAAAATGCTGTCTGCCTTGGTGACTTCTGACTACCCATGCTGGCAGTTTGTACCCAGCTAGGTCTCACAGAGTTGCTTGTCTACTGTTTGCCTATAACTACATACAGTCATGTGGAAGCTAGAAAATTTATTTTGAAGATGCTCTATCTGAATGAGAACTGTGAATGTTTTTATGCACACTTGTGCATTGTGTTTACTGGACTGGCCAGAAGATATGATGATGTCATATTTATGTACAGAACTGTTAGAAGTGTACCGTGAAACCTAGAATAACATTTGTGGATCTCAGTGGGTAATCCTGAAGGGCTCTCCTCTCCTCCTCTCTCCTCTTCTGCCCACTGAAGAGAGCTGGTCAGAGTGGTCCGAATGGTCTGCATGCGACCCATCTGGTGTCCAGATCCGTGTCCGCCAGTGCATCCTCCTGTTCCCGGTGGGCAGCCAGTGTTCCGGGAACCACACCGAGAGCCGGCCGTGCGTTTTTGACTCCAACTTCATCCCAGGTGAGGGAGAAGGGCAGAGGTGTCCCTCCGTGTGAGCAGAATGATTCCAGCATGGAGAGAGAAAAAGCCAGCAGTCACACTTGTGCCTGTTCTTTGCATTTGGTGAAATAGAAGTGATCCCACCAGATTTTCTAGTTTTGAGATGACTTAAATATAGCTTTATCAATAACTGTAGGTTCGGACTAGAAGGCAGCTTATGATTTTCAAAGTTCTTGACCACAGTGTTTCCTGTAATTTATTGATTCTAATATATTCAGGAGATCTTGGTTCAAAAATAGGATATTTGATTATTTTAATAGTGGGTTAAATACTTTGCCAGTGCTGTGTGTGTGTGTGTGTGTGTGCGTGTATGCATAGAGAAGAAGATGCATTCTATTTAAGCACAACTTATGACACTGGGGGAAATGGGTTTTTATCATTATTCTCATCCTAGAGAAGAGGTTTGTTTGTCCTCTTGCCAGCCGCCATTTCATTGTGAAATCAGAGATTAGATTTTGTAAGTGACAATCACTCGTTGTGTTCTCACTGTGGGCCCAGTGCTCTCCGTATGTGTATAAACCATCCAACATGTATCCTCTGCAACCGAGGACTGTGCTGGGAATCAAAGCAAAGACCAGCTTACCACAAGAAATAGTAAGGTTGAATTCTGCAGGTCAGATGTCTTCAGTTCCTTCCATTGGTAGAAAAGATTGTATCTTAGAGAAAGTTATTAGTATTAGCCTCGTAGGGCACTTTTATTATGGATAACATTATGAGGTGTGATCAAAATAAATGAATATTTAAATTAGATCATTCTTACCATAATAAAGTTTATGACACATTGTTATTAATCAAAATACCTTCCCTCAGTCTGAACATACTTGTCCATTGTTCTTGTCGCATTCTGAAGCAGTTATGGAGTCTCCCTTGCATGAATATTTTTGTAAGTTGTAAGCAGAATCACAGTGAGTGTCGCTGCTGAGTGCCATCCAGGGAAAAGGCAGGGTCACAGACACAACATGGTGTGTCCTCATCCTCCTTTCCCACCGAACACAGCCCTGGTCACTTCTGTCTGGTTCTTTCCCAAAGTCAAACTGACCATGGAAGGGAATCATTTGGAATCAGTTCAGGAGGTTGACACAGCTGAAGGGCACTCAAGGAATGGAACCTCACAAACTGCTTCAGAAGGTGTCAGTGACGGGATCCGTGTGTTCGAGAGAGAGGGTTTTAAGGGAGATGATGGTAAAGTGTCTTTCACTTTAATATTTTTAAAAATGTAAACATTCCCTATAGTTGTGATCACACTTCATTGACATGCAAGAGTTTGTCGTTTTAACTACAGGGACATATATAATATGAAACATTAATAAAGAAGGAAGTGGCATTTCCAGACCCCTGGAACAATATTTTTCCTCAGGCTTTGGAGCACTTGGAAGATCTGACCTCTCCTGGCATCTCACTTGTGGAGTGGCATGGCAAAGGTCATGATTGGACTCTGGAGTAGTGACCTAAGTCACTTTAGTTGTTAAGGGGATTTCTTTGAGTGCTGGTAAACTGTTTCTCCCCGAAGAGAATGTGACAGCACAGGCTGTGATGTGTCTTGATGCAGACGGACACCACGGGGACCCCACAGCTGGCTCATGTAACAGATACTCCATAGCTTAACAGGGAGTCAGCACGCTCTGGTTTCAGCCTGAGGGGCTGCAGCATTTTCTTTCTGTCCTATTGAGTCTCACCCTTTCCTACCAAAGGTGACTTAACCTCGTCAGTCTCAGGTTGATTAAAATAAGAAATGAATACTCTTCTTATAATTAATCAAGGTTTTGGAACTGAGATGTGCATTAGACTCAGAATAATTAGACAATTTTCAAATGCAGCATGAATGTGAATGTCTTCCCACACCTTTTATGCATTGTAATTGGATTTTTGTTTTTCCAGAAGTATCTGTGGCAAGATCCAGCAGTGTAGAAGAGAAAAGATGTGGAGGTAAGTTCTTCCTTTTAACAGATGTCTGATTGATGTCTTAGTGTCTTCTGATCATTTCTCATCCCTGTATGCTTTCTGCATTTTTGCTGTTGACACGGTGGGGAAACTCACAGACCCCAAAATGTTCCGTCTGTGTACAAATGGGCATAGTTAACATTTCACCCGTAGCTCAGGGGTTCCCATAGCGAAGTCCCCAGGTCAGTATCTGCTGTATCCCCTGGTTACTCAGTGGAAATGCAGATTCTCAGGCCCCATCTCTTCCTACAGAACCAGCATCCCTCACGGGGTCCAGTGGTCTGTGACCAGTACAATCTGCAGATGCACCTGAGGGATGTAAGCCTCATGAGTCAGAGATGATACTTGTGTGACGAGAGGAATTTTTCAAACAATGAATGTCAAAAGGCCACAGAGTTTGATTCATAGTTTTACTCAATGTGGACTTTGAACACACCTGAATGAAAGATGGACTGTCTGATCTCTGAATCCAATGACCATATCCACCTTTGATAAGTTTAACTAATGCCAGTCTTAAGATGTTTAAAATGCTCACACCTGCCATTATCCATCCCACCAAGGTGATCCAGAGAGCTTAGCACAACAGGTTTTGGCCTCTGTTTACAGTGCCATGGACTCCAGAGCTTCCTAGGCATCTTTAGGAATGCACTTACCACTGTTGAAGCCATTGCTTAGGAGCTCACTGGCTGCATCCTCTCTGGTTAGTCAGCCATCTGTTGATCCAACCACCCTTGCATGCAGTAATCTGTATCAGTTTTGTGAACTTACATTGGAGACTTGTATATTCCCAGCCCCTTTGGAACAAGCATGTGGTAGGCAATGCAAGTGTACGAGGGAGGCAGAATCCAGGGTCTGACCTAAGTCGCTGCTGTAAGCTCACTGACTGGAAATTGCTAATGTAGGATCCAGCTGCAAGGTGAGCATGCAGCAGTTCTCTGCATGATAAAGAATCATATCACCAAGTTTCCCTTTGTATTTGTAGACTGGCCAGCGTGTGCCAGACCTGTAGTAGATGCGCTGTGCGGTCAGTGTCTTATGTGGTCCTCATGAAGAGCATCCATGTGGGCACTGTGACCCACGACTTTTCAGTAAGTTGTGGAGGCAGAGAAGAGTTTTGCAACTGGGCATTCACTGCGTCCAGAAGAGAGATTTGGTGCTCGTACTGAACATGACATGACACCCTAAGATTCTGGAGGTGAACTCTAGAAGCAGACTCTCCAGTGGGGCTCCTCTGAAATGCAGGCATAGGGTGACATTAGTGCAGCAGAATGAGTCACATCAGGTCAGGTTCTGCAGCAGGTAAGAGCTGCAAACTCCATTCCCACAGTTTTCATATTTGGAAATTGTGGAAGCAAAATAGCCACTGTGCCTTTGTCTGTGTGTCCAAAGTGGGCAACGTTCCGGCCCAGGTCTACACAGCTGATAATGGGCCCAGCAGTGGGATTCAGTGGAAGGTTTACACCCAAAATCCCTCAGGAGAGGGTCTTTGTAGTCTGTGTCTGCAAGGACCACATGCAGGGGCCTCGAGCCACAGCAGCCCTCTTTAGGTGATGTTCTTGGCTTTGAGCACCTAAGAGACATAGCACAAAGCCACCTTCATCTTCCAGTGATGTCTAGTGGCTGAACTGGCCATGCTGGGTCACTGGAAACACCAGAGCCAACACTGCAGATGCTGCTGGCCAAATCATGGAAACATCAGTTATTCTGCATCCTTTGGAACTGATTGTCTGAGATCTTCAGGCTGTTGGCATTGGTGTATGTGGGGAGAGATGAGGTCGGCCTTAGGGAAGCATTAATTGGTGAAAGTCATCACCTCATAAGGATGTATGAGGGTTTAGAAAGACAACATAGATCCTTTTTCTCTGTGACAAAGCAATCAGACTTTGCACAGAAAATAAACCAGTTAACCAACTAGAGAGCTGGTCTCTATTCCAGCTTTATTGACCATAGCAAGAACAATAACAAAGAAAGGGGTATTCAAAGGAAAGGGCCAGAGTAACCACTTTCAACAAAGATTTATGAGGCACTGCTTTTTTCCTCTACAGAAAATGTGTTCTTATGGAGATCTTTCAGCTGAGCTATTTTTAGTTGCATGAGACACAAAGACTCTATAATCCTGTAAAGATGTCAGCTGGCCGCAGCCTTCCCCAGCCACCGATGGGGACAATTCATTTGACTAAGGACAATGTATCTGCATGTGGGGACCTTCATACATCTTCTGGGTGTTACAGTGAAATACGAGTTTTCGCTGCAGCTGGAAATATTTTTATCAGTGTGTGACACTGACCCTGGGGAGTCCTAACAGCTAAAGTACAGGGAAAGGAGAGCCCCTGTGGTCTCTGTGCTTGCTTAAGGCCAAGCCCAATGTTACAGTAAAATTCTGGTAGTGGTTGTCGGGGGAACAGCCCCAGATGCTTTAGTCAACTCTTCCAGGCTGGGTGCCTTCTGGCTCTGGAGGCTCCAGGACAAAGCCAGGAGAGGCTGAAGGTTCCCAGAGTCTTCTGTGGTCCTGTGTCATTGGCCAAGCTAGCCAGCATGGAGACCCGAGGTGGTGTTCCAGTGATGGGGTGGTTGTGCAATGCTCCCATGCCATCTTCCTGGACTGCCCAGCTGTCAGTGCTGAATATTCCAGCTCCTGTGTCAGGAGCCACACTCTGGTGTGGAATGCCAGGGCATCCAGTGCTATGATGTAGGCCAGGGCTCACACTGACTCTAAGAAGAAGCAGCCTTGGGTCAATGTGTCCGCCCCTCCACCTCAGGCAGCAAGTCCATATCTCAGGATCTCTGGGACGTGGTAGCCCAAGGCAGAGAGGAGCATAGTAGGTGGGGCAAGCTGGCGTTCAGGGGCAAGTGAGGGGTAATGAACTTCTGACATCACATGTTGTAGGGGGTTCTGGGGGCTTCTCCTATCCCCTGAGGTTCAGCGTCTCCTGAGGGCTCTGCCCACCTTGGGGCTCTGTGGGGAGCAGAAAGTACTCAGCCAGAGTCCGGCATCCTGCTAGGACTTTCCTCCAGGTGTCCCTGGAGGACACGGAGTGATTATTTGACACTACCTTGCACTGGAGAAGTGGGGTCCTTCTAAGTAGTGAACATGGGCAAGAGGCTTCTGGGTCCCAGAGCAGAGTGGGGAGGCTCTATGGAGGACAGTTTCTTCCTTGAGGCAGAAGAGAAAGGAGAAGGTCCTGAAGGTTAAGGGACAAACACACTTGGTCACAGAGATGAGGGATGTAGGGTCTTGTTGCCACCAGAGCCCTGAACACTTTGCTTTGTGGCCAGACGGGCTTATCTGGTGCCTGGGCTTGTACCCAGCAGGTATCTGCATAGTTCCACTTTTCCAGGATTGATTGATCACAGAAGGACAACAGGTGGGCATATACACTCTGAGGTACACTCTGGAGGAAAGGTGGGTGTCCTTGGGATTTGTTCTGAGCAAATGAGAACCCAGTAACACACAGGTGCTTGGGCACAGAGTGCCAGTGAAAGGTGGGAGAAAGAAGGTCCCCTTCGGTCTTACATGACCTCCAATGTCAGCACTGCCCAGAAGTCACCTTTGTCCCCAGAAAGCCATGACACTTTGACAGTAGTGTTTTGCAAACTCTCAGCGGACGCCTGGCTTTTTATTGTTATATGTTGGGCATCAGGTAGCCTCTTGCCACCCAAACCACCCCTGTTTCAGAGATGTGAGTCCACCCCAGCTCACCTTTTGAATACTTTATACTCCTGCCTCAAGGAAAAGAAACTCAAATAAAGAGATGCTTATTGAATGGAAAAACAATAGGTGAAAAAGAGTCAGTTCCTGGCCTCCTAAAATATTGTATTTTATTCCTTTAGCACAGATCCAGTGATTCTGTGGAGTAAACCATTTCCCTAATAAGATCATCAAGGTACAATATAATGAAACAAGCAGTCCATGGGATGGATTCCTTCTGCACACGTGCACAGAGCACACGAGGGACACTGGAAGGTGTAGTTACAATAGTTACCTGTGATAATGAAGGGAGTTATATTTTTCCTTTAGGTCCTTCAGAAGTTTCTAATATTATGCAGTGCGTTTCTATTCATATCCAAAAATATAATTGAAAACATGAGAATTCAAGTACATGAAAAATATTTTTAAATGGAGGAAAATGGTAAGGAAAGGGGGGAAGCAATGTGGCTTGCAGGAGTGTGGGGATTGGAGGGTCCCCTTGGCTGTGGATGTCTGTGAGGAGCAGGCATGCACCACTCCCAGGAGCACACAGGCCAGAGATGGTTGTGAACCTGGAACAGAAGAATAGCATTATGCAAGCCTTCAAAGGAAAGAAAATGCAGATGCTTCTTAGAGCGTACTGAGGTTTAAGATGCTTCTAATTACAATCCAAATAAGTATGAATTTAAATACCCTATGCTCCCTGTAGAGAAGCTGTCTATTGTCTATGACACTTTAAAGCAAAGAATCACAATTTCTTTCATTTTCCAGTGGGCATGAAGCTTCTCATTTTCTCTTGCCATGGGAGTGCTTTGAGCAGTTTGGTATTGTGATCTTCTGAATGGAATGGAATGAATCACATTGCTTCTGTCTTCCAGAGTTCAACATGTTCCACATGATCGCCGTGGGCCTGAGCAGCTCCATCCTTGGCTGCCTCCTCACCCTGCTGGTCTACACCTACTGCCAGCGCTACCAGCAGCAATCCCACGACGCCACTGTCATCCACCCTGTGTCACCCGCCCCTCTCAACACCAGCGTAACCAACCACATCAACAAACTGGACAAGTACGACTCCGTGGAGGCCATCAAGGTAAGGCATTGGCAGGAACAGCTGCAACCAGATGTCCAAAGGTCAGTGGGCCCTGGGCTGTTTGCAGTGCTCGGTGGTGTCACCAAACTGTAGGTGAGACAGGAAGAGGTCCCCTTGATAATAAATGCCTTGGTACTTTTGCTATGCTCATGCAGGGGCAGCGTCTCTACAGGGGATATAGTTAGTTACAAACAGACATGAGATCAGTAGTAACTAAAATACTGGAGGACCATGGGTCTCTGGCTTCCATCTAGCTCAGCCCGTCTGTGCCGTGTGCACAGTGATCTCACTGATCCTTCAATGAGAAAGAGCTCCCAAAGAAAAATGTGTATGTGACTGAGCAGCCATGATGAAGACCACACTGTGCTAATCAAGTATCCAGATTAAATGTAGGAAGAGAGCTGACCTTCTCTGAACCTCAGTATCTTCACTTTGGAAATGGGATAGCACTATTCTTTTGTGAGGTTTTAATGGCCTGATGCACCCAGGACTTAGCACCCAACAAAGAGTAACTGCTGTCCTTTTGTGTATGTGCGGAACAGGTCAGAGTATGGCTGGAAAGACTTCAAGGGTTCCTGTCTACTTAGCCCAACCTGCCTAGTAGCCCACATGGGCTGAAGGCTTCTCCTGAGCTAAATCCGACTGAAGTCTCATGTTCCTCCTAAGTTGATTTCCCCTGACACCATTGTAGGGGTTCCCTCTGCTCTCACGGCTTCCTGTAAAATCAGGTTTCCTACTAGGTGAACACGGGAAGTGTCTTCAGCTTTTACAGCTTCACGTGGTTGTTGGAGTCAAAGGGGCCTCACCTGACCACTCACTGCCCTTTGGCCACCTTTCCATCACCTGGTCAGAAATGCAGCCAGTTTTCCTTGACCCATGGCTTCTGCTTGAGCCATGATCCAGAATCTGATAGCACTAACCCAGTCCAGCGATGGACCCAGAGAATGGAACACCAGGAGTTGAAAGCAGGCCTTGCAGCCTCAGAGAAATGATCCCTAGAGTGTCTGGAGGAACAGGAGCTCCTTCTGTGAGCAGAGAGCTTCCAGATCAATGCCAGGAACCCAGAAGAGCTCCTCTAAGCATGGTTCCCATGCATGAACAGACCTGTGTCACTCAGTTGGTCTGTGATCCCATTACCATTTGGTATCCACTTTGAAGATGGCCAGAAATGGAAATATCAAGAAGGCCAAGGACACTGAGTCCACGGATGACTGTCTAGTCCTTAATGAATCCTTCTAGAACTTTCAGTTGTACTTTGCCCAGACTAGTCCTGAAACCATTAGACTCTGCCTTCTCGGCTTCATTTTTATTTTGTCGTTATATAGTCTCTACTTGGCATAGTTGTCTCTTCAAAGTTGCAGGTGACTTTAATGGCTATCAAAGATAGCCAAAGAGATAGCACCTCAGCAAACTAAGTGCAGTGTGAAAAGAAATCAAAGCATTTGAATTGGATGCATTTACATAAATAAGCTCTGTCAAGATCACTGATAAATATACCTGTACAGTGAAACCTGAAAGCTTCTTAAATATATTCTTGATATATGGAGTAATAGCTAAAGTGTCTCTTAGCTGGAAATCATTCAGGTTTTCCTAGAAGGTTTGATTTAGGTTTTCTGATGCCTGGCTTCTCTCAGCAACTTCTTTACTAAGGTTCAAAAGTAGAACCAAATATACCAACGATGATCACCCTCAGCACAGTTATGAGACAAGTCTGCAGTGAGGAAAATAATCTGGGAAATCCAGCATGGGAGAAAAAAATTTCCAAAATAATGGACTCATAAGAATGAGCTCAAATTCAACATCCTGGGCTCCGGGTTATTATATTTACTCTAGAGGAGTATTTACTGAGTATTCTGACTTCTTTATGATATATATTTTTTACAGGCATTTAACAAAAACAACCTGATCCTGGAGGAAAGGAACAAATACTTCAACCCCCATCTCACTGGGAAGACCTACTCTAATGCCTACTTTACGGATCTGAATAATTATGATGAGTACTAATAGCTCTTGTGGTTTTGGCTTCTTGTAAATCCTCAGTTCCTCAATGCCTGTGCTCCATGACTTCCATGTTCCTGAGGCTTCTGGGAGGAAGTTTGGGTCTATTTCAAGTGCATTTCAAGCCAAGAGTGGCCCGATGCTGCCCCGAATACACATCCTTAAAAGTCACAGAAAACTAAACACAACACAGTGAAAATCTGGTCTGCAGAAAACCCTTGATCGTGGTTACATGAGCCATGATGTGAAGTTTTTTCTTTTTTTTTTTTTAATTATGTTTAGCTAATTTCTCCGAGTCCATTGTTTCATGAGCTTTGTTTTATGTGTGTGCCACCCACATTGGAAGGAGTCTAAGAAATACAAATTTCTTCTTACTGTTGAGCATAGGTCTTCATGATGTTTTAATTCAAGAAATAAGTACCTTATCTGAGAGCTGCCCTATTAGAAGGCCCATATTATCTGATGAAATGAAGAAATGAATTTCGCCATGGGTCTCCTAATTTTCACGATCTGGAACAGACTCTGGGTCCTCGGAAGCAGCTGTGTTTGGACCTGAAAGCTTCTGGGGAAGCCCAACGACTCCACCCACCCTGCCCCTACCCATGCAGTGGTCAGCTGGGATGCCCAGCAGGGTCTGGACGCTGTGACTGCTCCACCATGGATGGGCACACAGAGCAGAGGCACAGATACAGGGACACGGGGCAGCCTCTGCAGTGGACTATGAACCAGCCTTACTCTGACCTCCGGATGGTGCTGACCTGAATCCCCGTCATGTCCCGCAGAGCAGCCTGAGGATAACCATTGTCAGCAGGTGGACTGGCCACACCTCCTCCTCACCCTGCACACTGCTAGTGCCAGTTAGGGAAAGTCTTGAGGGTTCAGGTCCAGACCTGAAAATAACTTTCGGTTTCCCCCGTATTTTTCAGCGTATCGGGAGAAATGATGCTTAGCGGCAAGCATCCTTTTGTTCCCGGCTCCCTAATAGAAGTAATGCATGGCGTTGGGCCCCAGCGAGAACAGTAAAGATGGGCAAAGCTGGCTCTGGACCTGCCCTGGTGCACACGGAGGTGACACCCGGGACCAGGCTGCCGCTTGCAGCCCCCAGGCCAGCAGGAGGGGATGTTCGGCTCCATGCCTTTTCTTTATCTCAGAGCAGTCTCCCTGCCCACTGGTCCCCCACCATTGCTGCTCCCTGCACCGAGGCAAGGGTCAGGAAGGCAAGCGAGGGAGGGAGGGCTCTGACCATCCGGTGGTCTCAGCCACCATGGCTGATTAGCATTTCCAGGTGTTATAAGACCATTGGTAGAAGTCTCCAGAAAATAAAAGATACATTACCCCCAGGAATGGATCCAGATAGCACATGGCAGTTGGTAGAATAACTATCAAAAATAAGAACAAAATTGAAACAGGTCATCTGATGCTTCTGGGCATTATGATAGAGGCCTGAGCAGATATCAGTCCATGTACTCACTGAGAGAGGAACATTTAGGTTTATAAAAGTGTACAGTAGGGGTAGTGAGGAAGATAGTTATTAGCCTATGTGTTTTTCTCTTACCAGTTTAAAACAGCAGGCTCAGAGAGTGGTGGAAAGATCTTACAGTTAATAAACAATGAATCTGAGTTGTAAATATCCTGAAACACCTAAGCTGACAGCAGTGGCCCTTCAGTGAAACCCACTGTTCTGTGACCTGGTGCTCGGGCTCCAGAGATGGGTTGGATGATGAAGGGAAGTACGAGGATTTTCCCGTGAGACCTGTGGCCTTGCACGCCCCTTGTGGATGTTGTGTAAGCATCCTCTGTTGACCGCGCTGCCCTGGCATCCACTCAGTAGAGGAAGCAGAGCAGGCTTCCTGATTGTGTCCAGGTCAGATTTTCGCTGGCTAATTTGATTCATCTCTTTAGGAAAAAGAAATCCTCACTGTAGCACATCTTAGCTCTTTTTCTTTTAATCGCCCTCTCCTAAGTGTTTTTGAAGCTTAAGAGGTCATTTTGTCTCCCCTAAGAAGGTGGACACTTTTATGAACTTGTGCCTGGACAAGTGAAATGCTTTCTAAATGGCATCCAGGCTGGTCTGTAAGGAATGCTATGCCCTAATCAGGAAAAACACTCTCCTTCCACCTGATGTTTTGAATCATGCAAGCCTTCAAGATTAGCACTGAAAAAACCGTCTCTCACCCTTTGCTCCCTGACACTCTATTCAAAGGAGAGCTCCCCTCTCAACCTCTTTGTTTTAACCGAAAAACACTTCCTTCAGAATAATCCGAGCTATGCTGCAGGGAATCCAGCCTTCTGTGGCATAAGCACGCCCGCGTTCCCACAGCTGTGCTGCTGTCGCTGCTGTCACGCATGGGCCCTGTGTGTGCTTTCCCTCGAGCCCTGAGCCTCGGGGCGGCTCGTGCAGTGGTGTCCACTGCCTGCAGCACTGCCTCCTTCGGGGAGCAGCTCTTCTTCAGGCTGCAGCTCTTAAGTCTAGGATTTCTGCTGAAACTGTGCATCAAGATCTAAATTCCCAACATCTCCTTCCTCCCTTCCTTCCTTCCTACTTTCCTCCATGTGTGTTTATGCGTGTGTGAGACAGTGTATGTGTTTAAGCAGCACAGATAGAGACATATTTTTAAGCTGCACATGTTTGAACCTCTTGTCAAATGACATTTATCACAATTTAATTTCTAGGTCTGTTTCCTGGTACACTTGAAATTTGGCTGATTTTCAATATGAAATTGACTTTAGTCACACAATGCTATTGAGGGCCCTTTCTCTGAAGTACTTGAATCACCATTGTTCCTAGAAGACACCTACATTCTGTGAAAGGGATAGCAGAATCCCTGTGGGGGCACAGTGGATTCTTCTTAAATACCTCAGGACTTTGGTGACACTGGGCTTTGTCATCTCTCAGTGATATAACTCATGAGTTCTAAGGAGCTTTAGTGCTGGGTGAGACCCAGCTACACAGAAAAGCCACTGTTCCCAGACTCCTGGGCATTTCCTTCAAAACTTCCCTGAGACACACCGCTATACTTCCTGACTTTAAAATTTAAAGGAGGCAACTGAGCTTGCCGGCTGGTTTTAGACTGTAGGCTTGATCAAGTCCACTGGGGCTGGGATTAGCCTGGAAGTGGGAAGAGTAGGGTTCCTGTGCATGTGGCAGCATAGGTGGAGATTCTACAGGAACCGAGGAATTACAGTGATGGGAATGAGGCCGTCCCTGCCGGAGAAGCACCTCTGTGCCTGGGAAGGGTCAGTCCACGCGGTCTGGGGTGAACCGTGGATCTTCTCCCTTTGACTCCTGGGAGGTGCTAGGAAAAAAAAGGAGAAAATGTGGCAAATAATCAGATAAGAAGATGGCAAAGAAAAGGAGAAGTGGGTCCCTCAGCAAGGGAAGGAAGATCATGGGAGACAAAACCCATTTCAGTGCATGTTTGCACCTGAATCTCTGTAGAATTAATGGGGGTCCTTCAGAGGTATGGGCAAACACTCAGCAAAGGAGACTCCACGTCCCCAACATGCCACCTAAACAACACTTTGCAGTATAGTTGAGTATCACAGGAAATCTTACCCTAAAATACGTAACAGTGCAGCAGTGAGGCACAGGCAGTAGGTATCAGTGTTCACATCATTCTCCAAGTGACAAGGTCACATCTGTCTCCTGGCTGCAGTAATGAGTTTTCACAAAGTTGTCAAGACAATAACCCTACATCAACTCATGGACGAGTTCTGCCATGCTCTTTAATATGATCCATGTTGGAGTTCCCAGATGCCACTGGCCTGTCCAGCCACCCCTTTATGCTGACGCTTTTATTGCATGGTGCACAGGGAGGGTTGGACTGCCATCACTTTGCCAATATTTGATTATTTATTTTTGCCTGATAGACCATCTGTAGTTGCCTATGGTCAGATACTAGAAGCCATGCTAAGCACACTGCCTCTGAGGCATGAGCATCAAATCAAAATAGTCAAATAATTATTCATTTCCACCTGAGAAATGCACAAAAGGAAATTTTGGGGATTGCCATGTAAGGTAAAATATGTGAAGCACAGGAAATGCTCTGGAATTTATTTCTGCTGTTCTCCTTTTGTGGTTATTAGTTAAATTTTATTAATACTGAGCCAAGGTGTTCACACTCAGGTTGTCTGCTTTGATAACCTGGTAAAGCTAAATAATAAATATTGCTTTTATAATTACCAATCTTTGGAAAGTTGAAAAATAGGTAAGATGTTGGATTATTGGCAGCAATTTCTACAAGAACTTCTTTATGGGCTTATATTAAGATGCATTATTCACATTTTTTAGCAGATGGATCAGAATTTTTTATTGTTTTCACATGTCACATCAAAAATGTAGTATGCATTACTGAATCAGAAATGGAGATCTTTTCTCTCTTAAAAATATAAGTACAGTGCAATGTGCTTAGAGGTTCAACAAAGCTACTTATGGAGCCTGGAACTATTTTTAAAAGATCTCACTTTGTGAAAGAGCTTTTGCCAATGGTAGTACCAGCTCTCGCCCAAGCAGCATGGCTTTACTGTATGAACACGGTGAAGCTTACTAGCCAAGGAAGCCCCCCAGTTCTGGAAGGAGAAATGCAGAGGTAGGAATGTACCCTGTGGCATTTTTTACACTAAAATGTAGAGTCAAGCAGGAAAATTTATTCCACCCCTAGTATTTAGTCAGAAATGTGGGGCCAATTGTTCAAACATGATCCTCTTTTTTTCTCAGTCTTTTGACAATTTAATGCCAAGTGGTTCAAATGTTAGATAAATCCAAGTGGAGAGCCAAGCCTGGATTCTAAAGAATGGGAAATATGCTTCTATAGCGACGCTCAGAAGAGCATCGTTAGCTGCCTCTCTGTAAGTGTAGATAGTTCATGTTCTTGTAAAAAGTTGCTAGTGCCTTGTTTAAGATGACACTCGTCATTACACCTGGATCTTGTTGGTTCCACTTACAACAGAGAGTTGGTTGGATGCTCTTGGAAGAAAATCATCCTTCCATGCCTCTTTGAACTCAGGAATAGAAAATGGCCAAGATGCCCTTCATCTTCAGATGTGGCCTGGCTCCCACTTGGCAATGGTATGTTGAGAATTAAGGTTAACTTGGTCTCAGGCTCCCACAAACGGACATCAGTCTAATTTCTGCATCCTCCAGAAACACTTCATGCCTGTTCTGTAATAGGAATGTCCGGGTGATGCCTATGGGTGTTAGAGGTGCGTTTTTCTGTTCCTCTTCAGCCAAGTCCAAGTCCACAGGCACAGGAAAACTAGACCCAGGCTGCCAACGGTGGAACCGATGTGGGACCTGTGTGATGAGAACCACCTACAGATCATTGCCTGGTTTATTTTATGTTGAATTCAGTGTCAAAACTGTTTCTCAAATTTACAAAAGATGTTACTCTCAGTTTGGAGTTTAAAAATTAACATGTTATCTCTGCTAATGTTGATTGCTTCCCCTTGTACCCTGACGGTGTGATGAACTCAAGCTTGAACTCCTGCACTTTGAAAGAAAGCACAGTAGGAACCTTTTGCTCAATTATCCAGTATTACCACAGCTTTGTCTGCTGAGAACATGCACAAGCTTGGTCCAGTGTAAGATTCTTCAAAACTGTGTAACAAAATTGTGTGTTATCCCACTTGATTTAACTTTAAACATATTATGCCTCATTTTGTGTGCATTTGCTATTGCCTGTTTTGTGGTACAAAATAAAGTCATTTGGGATTATTTACCTTTTTTCACTGATAATTCGTCAAAGCCAACTTTAGCCCTCAGTAAACCTGGAAAGAGTTACTAATCTTAAAATTAATTTTAACATAATTGATCCTTATATAATCACAGAGCTTTTTCAAGAATGACATCATTTGGCATTTCCCTACCTCTGAATGAGAAAATGAAATGTCTGTTCTGTTGTAATGGGCATGAGTTGCAGAATATTTCTTCAAGGAATTTTTGGACATGCCACACTTCTTTTCAATCCTTCTTACATTTTCTTCACATGATTTCTCTTGAGCTCTTCTTGTCAAACATATGCCACAGCAGTTTCTCGTGGTCATTGCTTTTGTTTTGTGTCTTGTCGACTCAGTGGTGGTCCATTCCCACTGGCTGTGTGCAGGCTTCGGTCTCACATGGCTGTGGGATGATGACTGAGCGACATACTGTCTTCAGAAATCAGTTTAAGGCAGGGAGCTCATTCTGTCTTGCACTGGATCAACCATGGAAGTTCAGGAAAGAGGGCGAGGAGGGGCACGACCCAGCCAGTCAGTGGAGACGAGCTCAACTTTTCCAGCTTCTCCCAGCCTCGCCTCTGGGGAGCACAAACCCATTTGTGAGAAGAAACTAGCTAGCATTACAGCAGTGAAAATGCCTTGCTCTCAGCGCCCTTGCTGACTGCTGACTTCGGTATCTCCACCTGATTCGTCTTTTTTGAAACAGCGAACTTCTGAAGAACGGTCCGGAGTGCAGCAGTCCTGCTTTCTGATCCTCTTCAACCCTAACTGCAAAAATGGGGGCAGGGCGGTGGGGAGCGGAAGCAAAATAAAACCCTGATTGTGTACAGTATAAATTGTATTATATTTTTTGTACTTATGTTTTATGTAAATAGTTTGTCTCATGTAATTGTATGTGAGCATTGAAATAAATCCTTCCATTTAGGAAAAAAAAAATTAGTAGCATCTTTGTTTGCAGAGCCTCGAAATGCACTGTCTCACGTATGTGCTAAGGCTTTCTATACAAGACCACACTCTGCCTGTACCCGGCTGTGCACTGAAGCTCAGGCAAAGGCTTCCCAGAGGACCAGGTTTGCTCAGAGCCAGACTGGGTGGTCTCTCCAGCGCACCATGTTCCATTCTTTCTTACAGAAAATAAAGTCTTTTTTTCTGCCAGGCAATACAGTTTTTTGGAATGAGCTACTCACAATCCATGGCTATGAACACTACTAGAAGATGCTTGACCCTAGAGAAATTGCTCTGTGAGTTGAGAACTAAATTTCACTATTCATTATTTCACTTAAAAAGAAAATCCTATATATATGCATACATATTTTTTCAAGTGGCTGAAAAGCTGAGCAATCTCACTGACACTTGAGGCTAAATAGTGGCATAATAAAACTATAAATTTAAACTAGTGAAGCATGTTATAAAGATTAAACTGTTTTATCCCCAAGTAATATTAACATTTGAGAGCACACTGTAAAAAGACTATATTTGACTGCTAGCTTAGAAAATAAATAGAATAAGCAAATGGTATGCCAAAATTTGCATTTCTGCAGTTTTTCTGAGTCTTTGTGATCATGAAAATCCTATTCTGAAATTTAGATGGTGTCACACAATACTCCTATGTCCAAAATCATCTTAGAATTTTCCTTCACTCCTAAAAGCAATTGAGATGTGATTTAAAATACCTTTCGGTACCTATATGATGTAATTTTCCATTCCAAGTGTCTCTTGAGGCCTAGTTTGTGACGAACGGAAATGACTAAAGGTGCTGACTCCATAAATATTCACTAGTAGAAGAAACTGCCCTTAAACATACTTGAAACAGCACTGTTTTCCTGAAGCTGCTCTTCTACTCAGTACACCTGACTTTGAAAGCAGAATCAGGAAGTGTGTTTCTCTCCTTTATCTGTTTGTGTCCACTTCCCTGGGAACCAGTGATGTTCCCCCGCCCTGCATTCACCGTGGGAAACTCAGGGCTGAATTCACGGTTGCACTTGGAGAACACAGTTCTGCCCGATGCAGGCATCTTCAGAGCAAACGCAGGAGCAGGGAGAGGAAGTTCCAGGAGGGCAGGTTTACAATGTGTTCATCAGGCAAATCCCAGGAGCTGTGAGTTTGTCTCAAGTTTGAAGAAATGTCAACACTTTGAAAATGGAAAGGCTGAATTATGATTTTTTAAATTATTTTTATTTGCTGTTTCAGTTTAGTTTTTTAAAAGAAAAAATTTCAAAACAAGATAATAGGAGGGTAACAATGGTTAATACATTACATATAGATATCCTTAAATTAGTTACTCCGAGCACAAGATACCAGCATTTATTATCCAAACAATTAGCACAAACCTGCCTTTTCAGTGAGTTAAGAGAAATTAGTAGCATAGCTATCTTAACTATCTTCATATAGATAGTTGTATTATATGTGTATATATATCTAGATATAGAAGATGGATGTAGATAGATGATGGATAGATAGGTGATGGATATATAGATTTTTTTTAAGGAAGGGAAAATCTTTAGGTGAGCGTGAGCTTGTCAGCCTTTGTGGTGGCTTTTTGTCAAGGTCCTTCGGTCACCGCTCCCTGGTTTCACTGGCGGTCCCTCCGTGACAGTGAAGCTCTAGCTTTCTCCCTCTTCGCTGTCCTCCTCTGCTCCCACCTCACCCCTCTCCTGCCAGCAGCTGCAGGTGTATGTGGGGTTATTTGTGTCTTCAGAGTCCCTGTGTGTCCTGGTGGTAGTGACAATAGCAGTGTGGTACACACCCAGAAAGTCCGCGGCCATTCAGCAAGGATATTGCAGCAGCTCTACATGGCCACACGTCGGAACACACGTCGCAGTTCCACAGGAAGCGTCCTCCAGAGACTCCTGTATTGAGGGCTTGGATCCTCCGGGGAGCAGAGCTCAGAGGTGAGGTTTAAATAGGTTTGTAGGGTCCGAAGGGATGGACTGATGATCTGGCTGGAGAGGCAGCTGCTGCCCCTGAGGAGTTCACCCTGTCCCCAGCACTTACTTTTTACATTTTTTTCTTTTCTCCTTCCTTCCTTCCTTCCTTCCTTCCTTCCTTCCTTCCTTCCTTCCTTCCTTCCTTCCTTCCTGTCTCTCTTTCTTTCTTCTATTTTCTCTTCCTCCCCTCCCTTCCCCTTTCATCTGCTCTCCTCCCCACTCTCTCTCCCTCTCCCCTCACCCTCTCTCTCATTCTCTCTCTGTCTTTGTCTCTCTTCCTCTTTCTCTTCCTCCCTCTCCCTCTCTCCCTTCTGTCTTTCTCTGTTTCTGTCTCTTTCTCCCATCTCTCTGTGTGTCTCTCTCCCCTGGATACGGGGATTTTTCTTTGTCATGAACTTCTGCTATGATGTTTCTGCCCTAAACCCAGCTGACCTTGGACACAAAAGGAAAACAAATAAACGTTTCAATTAACTTGTAGGTGTCAGGTACTTTATTCTGGAGACTAAAAGATAATTAATATGCCATCTTGCCTCTTGACTACCTCAACATACTTGGCATCATTTCTAGCTAGACGTTTTGCGAAACTGGGTTTGGAAAACAAGAGGGGTTTTGGGAACATGGAGTTGTTTTAAGATGAAGTCACAGTGGTTAAATCCTTTTATTTCCCAGAGGAGGTATAGACACCTTAAGCACTGCGAGCAAGTGTTGACCTAGTCTGGTGATTCTTCTCGAAGTGTGCTTTCTTCTGCAGTATCTATCTGTAGATTTCCTTTCCCTGGAAAGAACTAAGTGGACTTCAGTTTAAAAGTGCCTCGCTTCCTGATAATACAGTTGTCACCTCCCTTTATTCATCCATGAGTCCTCAGTAGGTATTTAAGAGATCTTTCCATTCTGATTGGAGAATGTAGAGAAAATCTAAAGTTTGATGTTCACAGGCAGTATTCATCACCGTGCAGTGAAGAGGGGATAAAGACAATGGGTAACGTGGGCCATGCCATCGGAATGCCTGTTCACATGCTCTCCGATGCTCACGTTTTCTATGGAAACAGAAGTTTAAGGAAGTAAAGGCATGGGATTGGGGAGCACACAGAAAATGCAAAATTCCTAAAACATCAAGTCATTTAAATTGAAGATCACCTTCGGCCCCAATTATGGTAGCAAGTTAAAAAAGTGACACACTGCGCCCCCCAGATCACTTCTCCCCATCCACTCTTAGGACTCATTTGTACCCAGAGGAGGGAGGGTCTCTGACCCCCGCTGCTGTCTTTCCTGGATACCTGAACACATTATATGACCCAGGTTTGGCCAGCCTGTCTCCACCAAAGAGTATCACTCTTCTAAATGTTGTTCTTTTACAAATGCTGGCAATTATAGTTCAAACCATAACTCATTAACTCATATTCTGCCTGTGAGACTTTGAAATAATGGAGATTGAGACCTTGTTTGAAGAAAAGACCATCTCAGCAGAAGTTACTATACAGAAATAAGCTTTGTCAGTTTTTAAGGGATTTTTTCATAACAGGAACTACAATCTGGACCCTGTCATTTTCCTTTTTCTCTGAGTGATGCTATAAAACCAGAATTCTTTGGAAAAGATCAATTCTTTGGGAAAGTCATATATTTCAAAAATTTTGAAAAATCTGCATTATTTGCCATGATTTTTCTAGGTTTAGCTTAAATATCTGATAGTGCATGACCTCTCAGATATTGAAGATTGTGACTTATCACAATGGATTTCCCTTTATTTAGTCTCAATTTCCAGGTGGACATGTGAAGAAGGAAGCCAGGACAGGGACTGACCTGAAACCCAGGTGGGTTTGAGCAAGCGGGGGATCAGAAAAATGCTAAGTGGTTCCGTTGCTTCCCTTCCTCACCTCCACCCTGGAACCTCAGGCCTCTCATCATTTAAGTGTGGCAGTATCACCTAGGAAGTATGTCTATGAAAATAAAGTTTAAAAATATACCCTTGATGCTTCCTGCATAGTTCATTGCATATAAGTGACAGAGGTGACTGTCATTACTAGCACTCAGGCTTCTCTCCATCAGTGTTCATCTCTACAAGGTGCATATGCTGCCGTTTCCCTTGTGAGGCTCAAAAGTAGTAAACAAGCCAAGTTGACAACCTATCTGGAGTGGCTGTGGAAGCAGTGAAGCCATTAATGGAATATATGCGCCATACATTAGGGATGTGATTGGGGAGGTCAAGAATAAATCCACGGCCGCCATGAACAGATATGGAGGTTGGAGATGTGCTCTGGAAAGAAAATCACTAACCAAGTGTGGGTCTTTCAACTTCTTGTAATTGAATATGTTACCTGTAAGGAAAGCAGTTAGCCCACACAAATGTGCAGATGTGTAAAACATGCTTCATTTCTGAAGATAAAAGGCTCATTTTCTGGGAAAGTGGATTAGACCTCTGCTGAATTCATGCTGCTAGCTTTGGTTTGTTCTGTTTCAGAACAACCTGCTCAGGTGAGGAAGGTAGAAGCTTCTTGGCAGGTTATTTTGTCTGGGCAAAGGCAGGTTTGAGAAATGGAAGGCTGCATCTTGTCAAGCCCTGGAGCTTCACTGATGAATAGGAAAGATGAATGTACGAATGGGTCTGTCCGTGAGGGGGCTGAGCGTTTAACTTCCTCTCTGACACATATTCAAGTCATAATATTGAAATCATGATTATTGACAGGGTATAAAAGTATAGCAAAAGATCACAAACACACGTGTCCAATTGCAGTAAATACTTCATGTTTAACTACAACTTATCAAACCTATGAAACACTGAAATGTGTGAGCTGTAGTTGATGGAATTTGGAGTTTTAGTTTGACTGGAATTGGCTTGCACATGATGAAGATTATCTGGTTGAAAGTAAAAGATACAGAAATGGATTGTCTGTTCCTTGTAATGATAGAAATCCCTGCACAGGACAGAGGAATCAAGGCCTGAAGGGTATACACGCCCTGAGTGGTCATTAGATCATATAGTTCTGATTGCTTCATGAAATTCTCAGTGGG